CAGCAACCCCACGGTTATCGGAGTACCCCTCCGATAGTCGGCAGTCCAGGGCACTGTGTGTCTGAGTGGATAGCAACGTGATTTTGCGACCCCCACTCCACCACAGTATCTCCTACATAAACACTAGTTGTGAGTTTGAAACCCAGAATTGCCCTACCTGAAGGGCAAAAACGACCTCGCTGCTGCCAAATCAGACCGCTACATCAAAGTCAAATCACTATAGAGTTGACGTATCTTATGAAAACTCGGACTTAGTGGTAGTTTACGTCTATTTTAGAGGTCTAAAATAGAGGAAAAAGTATCTGCAATGGGTAATACTGCCTAATGTTATTACCGTACCTCGCAAAATCAATGCTTTGGCGCAATTTCGAACTACTGTCGTCTTAACGTTTAAACACCCAAATATTTCGTGAAACTGTTATTTTTGTGTTAACTGTTTCGTGGTCAATGGGGGCATTTTGCCCCCTTTGGAGGGCGTATCCTTGAGTACCACTCGTGTCACCCACGAATGGGGGCAAAATGCCCCCTTTCATTATTTTTTGTGTGTTGGACGAGGCGGATTCGCCCTTTCTACTTGAACTACAAGGATTTGCAGAAGATTTGCTTAGTACCGTAGTTTATGAAAGGGGGCAAAATGCCCCCTTTGATGGCCTAATGACTTGACCTTTTATACTACAATATAGACAGGTCAAAAGTACCCGTTCACGAAAGGGTTAAGATTTGAAAGAAAAAATTCTAATTGGTCAAAAATCAACCGGTAGACATCACGAGAGATGTGGACGAATACATACTTTCTCAATCGTAGTGGTGAGTAACAAATCAAGCCTAGCCCATTCACAGGGCGATGTCGACTGATAGACATCGCCAAGCTGGCAAGGTTAGTAATAATATGACATAGGTTACAAAACTACCAGGGCATCTAAAAAAAATATCCGTAATAATAACTTTCCGTAACTTACAGGAATTATTAACTGACCTCCATTCCTCAATTTCTTTAAATAAATAACATACATACTACTGCCAAATGCTATATATGAAACTGGTGGCTGGCGCGAACTGAGCTGTTCTAGCTACGAGAGCCACTCGTTGAACAGGATTTCTTTCTACTGCTTAACCGCACTCATTTTACAATCTCCCCGCAACCGACAACACCTTCTGCGCTCGAGTCTACTTCTTCCAATGTCCACCATTCCATCACGGTCTCTCGCTACGGCTCTCTTTGTTCCCGAAGAAGGCGACTACTACCAGTGCCGCATTTGCTTCCTTCGTCGGAAGCAAGCCAATGGAACTGGGTACACGAACCTGGTAGAGCATCTCGTGTGCTATCATGCCAGCACGTACGAGGACGAGTTTCGCTCCGTTCAGCGACGTGAAGGGAGTCTGGACTAGTACGTTAAAAAAGAGGCGATGATTTCTCGCGCAATGTCTACCACTGGCTCGACTGGATTGTCATGGAAAACCGAGTGTTGAGCATGTGCGAAAAGATTAAGACGCGTAAGTACACGCACCTGAAGCCATTGAGTGTCAACACGCTGAAGAACAACATGTTTGAGCTAGAGACAGTCATGCAGGCTTCTATCAAGACCCAACTCGAAAGAAAGAAGATGGGCTTTGCAGTCGATGCTTGGAAGAAAGATGGTACTCATTTTGTCGCCATTATCGCCATCACCTCCACCGACAAATTCCTGCTGTGCTTTTCGACATTGCCGGATGAATCTGACATGAGTGCCGACGCCACTATTGACCTGTTTGATTACGTGCTCGATACGTACGGAATAGATGCTGCCACTCAGCTGTGCTTCTACGTGTGCGATCATGCTTCAGTGAACGTAGCCATCGCGAGGAAAACGTCTGTGCCCATGATAGGCTGTAGTCTAGCGATGCAAGCGCTCATGAGCGACTACACTGACTTGCTTGAAAAGGTGCACAGACTGATGTCGAAGCTAAACACGATCAAAACCCGCCACCGACTCCGCGAAGCCGACGCATTGATGCCGACTTTCGGTAATGCAACTTGATGGAGTAGTACTTTTGCGATGATCGACCATTACATTCGAATCTACAAGAAGCTGGACCATGTTGATGGCGATCTAGTCGATTTTATCCCTACGGCACGAGAAAATGCCCGTCTAAAGTCCTATTCGAGGATCTCAAGAAAGTGTAAACAAGAAACTGCAAACATCGAGTATATTTTTGCTGGACGTGCGTGCTCTTTTT